TTTGTATTTGGGGTTTAGGGTTTAGGGTTTACAGTTTTAGGGTTTAGGGTTTAGGGTTTAAGGTTTGATTTGTTTGAATTTTGAGTTTTAGTGGTTCCTATATCAATTTTGAATTTTCTATCTACCCTTCGTTTTGTTTGATACGGAACAAAGAAAACTCAAGTGTCTACTCATACCCTTTTTTAAAAATTACAGATAGGTGAATTTGGTTTTTTGTTTATCAAGGGTTTGACTCTAATAATATGAGGAAACTACATTATTGGTTTCCTTTTATTTATTTTGATGACATGTAGTATATATTTTAATTTAATCATATTCCTTTAACAAAAATTACAACATTAAAAATTTCCACTAATATATATTTACATAAGTATTACTAATACTAACTAAATTAAAAATTTTCACTAATATATATCTACATAAGTATTACTAATACTAACAAGTGAGAAAAGCATATTAACAAGTGAGAAAAGCATATTTACATCTTTTTGCTATAAGCTTATCACCATAAATCAATTAATACGGTGATGTATAGTAGATTTCGAAAAGTGATAAAAACAACAAAGTTATACTTTCTCTAAAAAAAAAAAAATTATAAAGTAAACCATCATCCTTCTGTTTTGAGTATCATATATATATATATATATACCATTTTAAATACTATTTTAATTTTAGTATTAGTAGTTTCAATTTTTGTTTGTTTTAATCTTTATATTTTCGAAATGTTTGAGAGATATTTTGAAACTAAAGTATAATATAATATCTTTTACAAATTTCCGAAACTTCTAAAATCTTTAAAACCAAATATAATATTTCAAATATATATAATATCTTTCAAAAGAAAATCTGTAAAAAAAGTTTTGTAACAATATGACTTTATTTTTTTTGTCTTTTTAAAACATACATGCTCCAAAGTAAAAATACTTTTTTTTTTAGTTTTCAATATTTTGCTTAAATTTTATAAATGTTTTTAAAAAGTAAATAAACTCACACACTCATAAAAAATACACATGCATTTTTTAAATTCAATTACTAAAACAAAAATGTGCAAAAATATGCCTCAATTAAAATTCATATTAAAAAATATTTCCATATCTCAGTAATATTTTAAATATATATAATAAAGTAATTAAAGATACCTGTACTGTAGACAAAATCTTGCTCCAAGTTTGCTACCTCTATTAAATTTGAACGGTTCCTACAACAAAAGAAAATTAATAATAAAACTAAAAAATAAACAATAAAAATATTAACAATTACCTTAGAAGGATGATGGTGAATATAAAATTGAAGGAAAATAAGGAAGGAAACAAAAAATGGAAAGAAAAAACGGAAGGAAACAAAAGTAGAATTAAAATGAGAGTGATGATTGTTTGGGGAAGAGGATACCCTGGACACGTGGAGGATCCCTATTGGTGCTCCAAGATGACTCATGAGTCATGCCCAGCTCGGACCGTCGAGATCACCACCGCTAGCATCGACAGATGCTAAGTATGAGGGCCGAGGTGAACCTGGCCGAGGTCCGACCTACCGGGAAGCTCGGTGGGGGCCAATGTGAACTACTGTCAGCGGCGTGATTATTGGGTGTAACCGTCGGTCCCGAGATTATCGGGTGTAACCGACGGTCCCGAGATTACCGGGTGTAACCGTCACGAGATTAGCGGGACTACCACCCATAAGTAGAGGACCTCACTCCACGATCAGGTACGATGATTTCTGACCTCGAACTAAACTGGGA